ATATATGTATAATGCAAGAGGTAGATTTTTCACTACGGAGTTTTAGAATTTTTTTAACGTTTTGAAAACAATACAACTGGGATTCCCTAGATTCTATGAAAAATTTCCAAAAATAAAGCACAGGAACCCCGAAGATTCTTACACACATTTTCGAAAATAAAACACTAGAGGCCTGGTAGATTTTTTCAAATTCTTTTCTGAACGGATTTGAGAAAATTTACACTAGTCGCTACAAACATTCTTTTAAAATTCTTTCAAAAACAAAACACAATGGACCTTTCTGGTTTTTTCGTATATTTTAAAAAAAGAACTTTGGGAAACAAAACAACTGATCCTCGAGATCCTTTCAAATTATTAATAACAAACATTGAGATTTTTGAAAAATTCTTTCAAAAACAAAACACAAAGGACTTCTAAGATTCTCTCACATATTTTAAAAAGCGCAATGGACCCCTTAGATTGCTCACCATATTTTAAAAAAGGGTTTCCCGAGATTCTTTCAAATATTTTCAAAAATAAAACACCAGAGGTCACCGAAATTTTTTCAAAAAAGGATTTCAAAAAAGAATTTGAAAAAGTTACGCTGGACACCACGACTAGTCGTTCAAAAATTTCTTCAAAAAGAAAACAATTCCAAAATCTTACTAAATTCTTTCTAAAAAACAACACAACTGGGGTCGCCGACGTCTTTCAAATATTTTCAAAAATAAAACACCAGAGGCATGCGAGATTTGTTCAAATTCTTTCAAAAATAAAATGTAAGAAACTCCTAAGATATTTTCACATATTTTAAGTGGCGCAAGTGGATTTAAGTTTCTTTTAAACATTTTGAAAATCGAAGCAACTGGAGTCTCAGAAGTTTTTTCAAATTTTTCCAAATATAAACAAGCAGGGGCTTCCGATGACTCTTTCATATTGTTAAAAAGAAGGCAATAGAAGTTCTTAAGATTCTTATCCAATATTAAAAAAAAATAAATAAAATACTGGAGGCCCGAGATTTTTTTTCAAATTCTTTCAAAACAATTTGAGAAAAAAGATAATAGACGCGACCAAGATTCTTTCAACTTTTTCCAAAATCAAAACACAAAAACTCCCAAGATCTTTCCAAATTTTCTCAAAAACAAAACACAAGGGACACCAAGGATTTTTTCGCATATTTCAGAAAACACAATTGACCAGGTCGATTTTTTTAAGATTCTTTCAAAATTCGAGAAAAAAGACACCAGACGCAGACAAGATTCTTCTAAATTTTTTCAAAAGCAAAACACAAGAATTTCCAAAATCGTTTCAATTTCAAAAACTAAAGACTAAAAACTTCTAAGATTATTTCACACATTTAAAAAATATATATAATGCAAGAGGTAGGTTTTTCATTGTTTAAAAAACCACTATGGAGTTTTAGAATTTTTTTAACGTTTTGAAAACAATACAACTGGGATTCCCTAGATTCTATGAAAAATTTCTAAAAATAAAGCACAGATACCCGGAAGATTCTTACACACATTTTCGAAAATAAAACACTAGAGGCCTCGCAGATTTTTTCAAATTCTTTTCTGAACGGATTTGAGAAAATTTACACTAGTCGCTACAAACATTCTTTTAAAATTCTTTCAAAAACAAAACACAATGGACCTTTCTGATTTTCTCGTATATTTAAAAAAAAGAACTTTGGGAAACAAAACAACTGATCCTCGAGATCCTTTCAAATTATTAATAACGTAGTCCCCAAATATTTTCAAAAATATAATACCAAACCTTGAGATTTTTGAAAAATTCTTTCAAAAACAAAACACAAAGGACTTTTAAGATTCTTTCACATATTTTAAAAAGCACAACGGACCCCTTAGATTGCTCATCATATTTTAAAAAAGGGTTTCCCGAGAATCTTTCAAACATTTTCAAAAATAAAACACCAGAGGTCACCGAAATTTTTTCAAAAAAGAATTTCAAAAAAGAATTTGAAATAATTACGCTGGACATCACAACTAGTCTTTCAAAAATTTCTTCAAAAAGTAAACAATTCCAAAATCTTACTAAATTCTTTCTAAAAATCAAAACAACTGAGGTCCCCGACATCTTTCAAATATTTTCAAAAATAAAACACCAGAGGCATGCGAGATTTGTTCAAATTCTTTCAAAAATAAAATATAACAGACTCCTAAGATATTTTCACATATTTTAACGGGCGCAAGTGGATTTAAGTTTCTTTTAAACATTTTGAAAATCGAAACAACTGGAGTCTCAAAAGTTTTTTCAAATTTTTCCAAATATCAACAAGCAGGGGGCTCCGATGACTCTTTCATATTGTTAAAAAGAAGGCAATAGAAGTTCTTAAGATTCTTATCCAATATAAAAAAAAAAAAATACTGGAGACACGAGATTTTTTTTCAAATTCTTTCAAAACAATTTGAGAAAAAAGGTAATAGACGGCACCAAGATTCTTTCAACTTTTTCCAAAATCAAAACACAAGAACTTTCAAGATATTTCCAAATTTTTTCAAAAACAAAACACAAGGGACACCAAGGATTTTTTCGCATATTTCAAAAAATACGATTGACCAAGTTGATTTTTTTAGGATTCTTTCAAAATTCGAGAAAAAAGACACCAGACGCAGACAAGATTCTTCTAAATTTTTTCAAAAGCAAAACACAAGAATTCCCAAAATCGTTTCAATTTCAAAAACTAAAGACTAAAAACTTCTAAGATTGTTTCACACATTTAAAAAATATATATAATGCAAGAGGTAGATTTTTCATTGTTTAAAAAAACACTACGGAGTTGTTTTAACGTTTTGAAAACAATACAACTGGGATTCCCTAGATTGTATGAAAAATTTCCAAAAATAAAGCACAGGGACCCCGAAGATTCTTACACATATTTTCGAAAAAAAAACACTAGAGGCCTCGCAGATTTTTTCAAATTCTTTTCTGAACGGATTTGAGAAAATTTACACTAGTCGCTACGAACATTCTTTTAAAATTCTTTCAAAAACAAAACACAATGGACCTTTCTGACTTTTTCGTATATTTTAAAAAAAGAACTTTGGGAACAAAACAACTGATTCTCGAGATCCTTTCAAATTATTAATAACTAAATAAATATTTTCAAAAATATAACACCAAACCTTGAGATTTTTGAAAAATTCTTTCAAATAACAAAACACAAAGGACTTCTAAGATTCTCTCACATATATATTTTAAAAAGCACAATGGACCCCTTAGATTGCTCGCCATATTTTAAAAAAGGGCTTCCCGAGATTCTTTCAAATATTTTCAAAAATAAAACACCAGAGGTCACCGGAATTTTTTCAAAAAAGAATTTCAAAAAAGAATTTGAAAAAGTTACGCTGGACATCACGACTGGACTTTCAAAAATTCCTTCAAAAATTAAACGTTTCCAAAATCTTACTAAATTCTTTCAAAAAAACAAAACAACTGAGGTCCCCGACATCTTTCAAATATTTTCAAAAATAAAACACCAGAGGCATGCGAGATTTGTTCAAATTCTTTCAAAAATAAAACATAAGAGACTCCTAAGATATTTTCACATATTTTAAAGGGCGCAAGTGGATTTAAATTTCTTTTAAACATTTTGAAAATCGAAACAACTGGAGTCTCAGAAGTTTTTTCAAAATTTTCCAAATATAAACAAGCAGGGGGTTCCGATGACTCTTTCATATTGTTAAAAAGAAGGCAATAGAAGTTCTTAAGATTCTTATCCAATATTAAAACAAAAATAAAATACTGGAGTCCCGAGATTTTTTCAAATTCTTTCAAAACAATTTGAGAAAAAGGTAATAGACGGCACCAAGATTCTTTCAACTTTTTCCAAAATCAAAACACAAGAACTCCCAAGGTCTTTCCAAATTTTTTCAAAAACAAAACACAAGGGACACCAAGGATTTTTTCGCATATTTCAAAAAACACGATTGACCAAGTCGATTTTTTTAAGATTATTTCAAAATTAGAGAAAAAAGACACCAGACGCAGATAAGATTCTTCTAAATTTTTTCAAAAGCAAAACACAAGAATTCCCAAAATCGTTTCAATTTCAAAAACTAAAGACTAAAAACTTCTAAGATTATTTCACACATTTAAAAAAATATATAATGCACTAGGGAGCTTTAAGATCCTTTCAAATATCCTGTCAAAAAGCATTTGATAAAAATGACACTAGACGCCATTTTTTTTTCAAAAACAAAACACAAGGAGTTCCAAGAACTATCCAAATTCTTTCAGAAAAACAAACAGTTCTTGACGAACAATTTTTACAAGACTTCAAGGCAGTCGATTTTATGGTTTCTAAGTTAAATTGTCAAATATTGCTTTACGTTTTTAATCTAGACATCTAAGGTAAAAAATAAGGCAGATTATAAACCACAAGTACACAAGCATGTACACCTACAGTTTCACATGGACCCTACTTCCTCAAGGTTTTGAATTCAAAATGAAACCCCTGTTTTTAATTAAGCGACAGCTCCTCGCATTAAACTCAATAAGCTGCCGGAACTGTAAGAGAGAAACGGATTTTCTTCAAATCTCATAAGCACCTTCTGACGACCGCTCAGTCCCTATTAAAACGCTCTTCAAAACTCGTCTTTAATAACAACAACACGGAATATATTCGATTATTCAAAACTGACACCAACCCCAATCGTTAATATTAATTCCACGACAAGCTAACTTTATGTCGAACACAAATGAGAACTTTACATTTACCAAGCAATAACCGTAATAACTGACATGAAATATTGATTGAAAGCAACGAAGCGAACAAGCCTCACACAATTACTATCAGTGACTAGCAATGTCAAACGCTGCGAAAACACAAAAGTGGAGGATTTACCAGAAGCAATCAGAAAGAGTAACTTCAATGAGAATTTTTTTGGAGCTAAAGTAATTAAATTCCGTTTAAAAGTCATGCGCTTCCAGTTTTCTGGATATTACATTGCATTATTTACAGAGCTAGAAATTATAGAGCATTTATATTTTCAACTTACCTAATAAGTCTTTTTAACTTTTCACTGGACCACGATTAGTGTATTTATCACTCTATAAATACACAAAATTACAAAACAATGTGTTATTACAGCATCCAATTTGACCTCAAAGTCCACGATAAAAGCGACAATTATTATTATTACTAAAATTAACAGAAATGTGATTAACGCTATCAAACATACAATATCGGTGTGCGCAATAAAATTATCATTCAGTTTAAATTTAGCCACCGGACAGTGTTTTATTGTACGGAATACATGCAAAATTTTTATTTCGTGTAATAATGAAAACCACGCTTGAATATGCTAATTATATCGTGAATTGTTTGCGTTGCGTCGATCGTTAAATAATGTGGCGTGTTTCTATTTTATATGAAGTTGTTACAGTGAAAATAAAATTTACTTCCCGAGAGTAAACTAGTAAACAAAGAACGGGATCAAACGTCATGCTGAAATATGGTCCCCAGTTACCGTCTGTCCGTCTGATTATTTTAACAGTCAAGCTTGAAATTTTGACGGTAGTTCGATAGTTTTGCAACTTTGAAGCCTTTTTAGTGATAATCGGTGCTCCTTTAATACATTAATGAAACACATACCTATTTAATACGGCTCTTATCAGAATAGTAAATTATATCAATCACATGGGAGTGACGCTTAGTTCTATAAGGGAAACTCTTCACTTATTCATGAGTCTCGATTCTGTTCGTCGGTTAAATTTCGCCCTCCTACATACCAGAGCGTGTATTTTCACACAAAAGACTTCGTTTATTCCAGAGTTTTATTTTATGATATAAACTTGCTCATTTTAACAAATTATTGGCGGAAATGTTTGTTTTGGTTGTTGTAATGCGCCGTTAGCTGTCAGTCCAAAAATCAATATAGTTATATTCAGAAGCAGATAGTTTCGGTAATGGTCTTAACAAGAATAATTAATTTGCTGTAATTGAGTGGATCCTCGACCTGGGGACTTTCCCGAATAAAGAACAGAATGCCAATTATTAACAACACTTTTTGTTGAATTCTCTTAATTAGTGACTGTTTTAAATAAAAAATTGGTGTGAAGTTAGTTAGACAGAACTTTCCTTGCCCCTGAAGTACATTCGAACAAATACAGCTTATTCGAAAAATCAAAAATTTAACAATAGGTGTACTTGATTTGATCGATAAAAAAATTGTGACCCATGAGTCCATCGAACCATAATTGCATAATTTGCCCCTTTTTATAGGATGTATGTGTGACACATGAATCCGTGTCGAGTTTTCACCCTATCCAGATTTTTGGGGAAAAAATCAAAATTGTATTTAACTTCGAAATTGTGTTTTAAGTTTCTTGTTGTGAAAAGATGGTGATATTAAGAAAAACAGGCAAAATATAAGCCCCGCCCACCCGCCCCATCTCAATCCTGATGATGAGCTTAATTACAAAACGTGTTCTTGGGTAATCGTGTTGTGCAAAGCAAACTATATGTATTAGGTAAAAAAGAAAGGCAAAAATTGAGCTCCACCCATCTGTCTCGATCTCAATCTGGCTTTAATGTTTGCTTAATATAATTAATCTTATAGAGAAATAAAGATTTTGCAATTAAGCTCCACCCCTCGCCTTACGACGAATAAGAGAAAAATCGTCACAATTGGGATAGGGCGGGTGGGCGGGGCTTATATTTTGCCTCCTCTTTCTTAATATGCGTAGTCATCTCTTCACAACAAAAACTTAGAACATGAACGGAAAATTTTTGAGGGAAATATGGGTCTTGCAGTTACGCTTCGCCCCTAGGTCTGGAAAGGAATGAAAAATTTATCACAAGAATAAGCTCCACCCATATCGGTCTCTACCTCAATAGTGATGAAGTTTTCGTTCGTTGTTAGACCGAGGGGCGGAGCGTAATTGCAAAATCCTTACTTCCATACAAAAATTTACCATTTTAAACACGTTTTAAGTTTCTTTTAGTGAAAACAAAACTACGTATATTAAGAAAAAAAATATATAAGCCCCGCCCACCCACCCTGGTTCAATTGTGATGATTTATTTTATTCATTGTGAGCCGGAGGGCGGAGCTTAACTGCAACCCTCATTTTTCTCCAAGAAATTCCCATATAAAACATAAAAGAAAGTGAAAGATTAAGCCCCACCTACACCCGCCCCGATCCCAATTCTGATGTCTTTTTTATTCGTTGTCACACCGAAGAGTGGAGCATAATTGCAGTTACGCCTCGCCCCTAGGTCTGGCAACGAATGAAAATTTTTTACGAGATTAAGCTCCACCCATATCTGTCCCTATCTCAATAACGATGAAGTTTTCATTCGTTGTTAAACCGAGGCGAGGAGTCTAATTACAAAATCCATACTTCCATACCAAATTTACCATTTTAAACATGTAAGTTTCTTTTAGTGAAAACAAAACTACGTATATTAAGAAAAAAAGCAAAATATAAGCCCCGCCCACCCACCCTAACTCAATTGTGATGATATATTTTATTCGTCGTGAGCCGGGAGGCGGAGCTTAATTGCAATTCTCATTTTTCTCGGATTTTGTAATAATTAAGCTCCGCGATCTTCGCTCACGATGAATAAAAAAAATCGTCACAATTGGGACAGGGCGGGTGGGCGGGGCTTACATTTGTCCCCTTTTTCTTAAAACACGTAGCCATCTTTTCACAGCGATAACTTAAAACATGCATAAAATGGTAATTTTTTCAGGGAAATATGGATTTTGCAGTTACGCTTCACCCCTAAGCCTGGCAACGAATGAAAAATTTTTACGAGATTAATCTCCACCCATATCGGTCTCTACCTCAATAGTGATGAAGTTTTCATTCGTTGTTAGACCGAGGGGCGGAGCGTAATTGCAAAATCGATACTTCCATACACAACTTTACCATTTTAAACACGTTTTAAGTTTCTTTTAGTGAAAACAAAACTACGTATATTAAGAAAAAAAATATATAAGCCCCGCCCACCTACCCTGGTTCAATTGTGATGATTTATTTTATTCGTCGTGAACTTTTTTTTCTAAACATACCTAGTATTCTCTTTGAGAAACAAGGATTTTGCAGTTAAGCTCCGCCTTGTTGGCTCACGACGAATAAAAAAAATCGTCACAATTGAGAGAGGGCGGGTGGGCGGGGCTCCATTTTGTCGTTTCTTCCTTAATATGTGTAGCCTCATTTCGACAACAAATTCAAAACATTGCTAGTACCTGCTAAGATAAGACTGATTTTGGCAAATAACACCCTCTAAAACATGGAGGGCTAGTGGACGTTACTATCACTTGTAAGACTGAACAATATATTTAGAATAGTCACTGGAATGAAAAGGGGGTTGGTGGGCAGGGCTATTGCTTGCTTACAAAAGCTTCTGTAGAAAAAAGTTAAACTTAGCCCCGCCCACCCACCCGTTCGTTTTTTTCTTCTGAAATAAGAAATGCATTTTTATAGCAAATCGTGTAATAAAATAAATGGGATTAGCGTTTTTTCCTTTTTAACAGCCCAAGCTCTATTTGGTTCTTGCCACTTTACAGACGTACATATAATAGCTCCGCCCACTTATTCCGCCTTCATTTTAGTGATTCATTGTATCTGAATGAAAGGTGGATTTTCTTCTGATAAACAGAAATAAAACCGTTAAAATGAGAATAGAAGGGTGAGCGGGGCTAGTGCCTGCAAAGATAAGACTGATTTTGGGAAATAACACCCTTCAAAAAATTTAAAATAGGGGGTTGGTGGGCGGGGCTATCACGTACCAAGATAAGACTGAACAATATTAAGAGTAGTCACTGGAATAAAGAGGGAGTGTCTGGGCGGGGCCATTGCTTGCTTATAAATTCTTCTGTAAGAAAAAATTACACTTAGCCCCGCCCACCCACCCGTTTCTTTTTTTTATGAAATAAGAAATGCATTTTTTGTAGAAAATAGTATAAGAAAGAAAAATATTAGCCTTCTTTTTTCTCTTTTTAACAGTCCAGGTTCGATTAGTTTTTTCCCACTTATTAGCTCCACCCACTTACTTCATTTTAGTGATTCATTGTATCTAAATGAAAGATGGATTTTATACTGATGAGTGGACATAAAATCGTTAAAGTGAGAAAAGGGCGGGTGGGTGGGGCTAGTACCTGCTAAGATAAGACTGATTTTGACAAAAAACGCCCTTTAAAAAACTAAATGGCGGGTGGGCGGGGTTATCACTTGCCAAGATAAGATTGAACAATATTGAAAGTAGTCACTGGAATGAAGCGGGGGTGGGTGGGTAGGGCTACTGCTAAGCTAAACTCAGCCCCGTCCACCTCTTTTCTCCATTGCACTGACTTATTTTATTTAGAGAGAGGCGGAGCTTAATTCTAAAATCCTCTATATTTTTCCTTTTTCTCTTAATATACATAGTATTCTTTGAACAAGACGATACTCAAAAACATGTTTTTAATTTTTCGTAGAGAAACAAGGATTTTGCAGTTAAGCTCCGCCTTTTTGGCTCACGACGAATAAAAAAATCGTCACAATTGAGACAGGGCGGGTGGGCGGGGCTCCATTTTGCCTTTTTTCCTTAATAAGTGTAGACTCATTTCGACAACAAATTAAAAACATTGCTAGTACCTACTAAGATAAGACTGATTTTGGCAAATAACACCCTCTAAAATATGGAGGGCTGGTGGACGTTACTATCACTTGTAAGACTGAACAATATTTAGAGTAGTCACTGAAATGAAGAGGGGGTGGGTGGGCGGGGCGAGGTTAAACTTAGCTCCGCCCACCCACCCGTTCTTTTTTTCTTCTGAAATAAGAAATGCATTTTTATAGCAAATCGTGTAATAAAATAAATAGGATTAGCGTTTTGTTTTCCTTTTTAACAGCCCAAGCTCTATTAATTGCCACTTCACAGACGAACATATAATAACTCCGTCCACTTATTCCGCCTTAATTTTAGTGATTCATTGTATCTGAATGAAAGGTGGATTTTCTTCTGATAAACAGAAATAAAATCGTTAAAATGAGAATAGAGGGTGGGCTTGACTAGTGCCTGCTAAGACTGATTTTGGTAAATAACACTCTCTAAAAAAATAAAAAAATAGAGGATTGGTTGGCGGGGTTATCACGTACCAAGATAAGACTGAA